CCCGAGTCCGGTCGACGTCGGCGGCCGGCTTCCTCGTCTGTCCGTCCGACCACGCCAGCAGCTGTCGGACCAGGCTGGACAGCTCCCCGGTGATCTTCTGCATCGACCTGGGCGCCGATCTGTACGGACGGCATCTTCGCCGTCGTCGTCGGGGAGCGAGGAGGAGGACGGAGGCTAGGAGGGCGGCTGGTGTTCCGCGTGACGCCGCGTCGGCCTGGACTGCGAGGTCTACCTCGTCGTCATCGTCGTCGTGGTCGTCGACGGAGGAGGAGCAGCAGGACTGGGACAGAGGAGAATGGATGCCAGGAGGGGATGAGAAACAAGAAGGATGCGGAGGAGAAGAAGGACGAAGGCGACGACGGCGGCGAGGAGCAGCAGGAGGAGGACGCTGACGTGGAGGAGGACGGAGGAGGACGGAGACGGGGAGTAGGAGAGAGAAGGAGGCGGCGGAGAGCGCAGGCGGGCGGGTGGTCTTCTGCCAGTGGCCTGCACCCCGCCTGGTACCGCAGGTAGGAGCTGTTGGTGCGGAAGACCAGCAGGAGCCCCAACAGCGGGGAGGTGAACTCGAAGGGCTCGAGCGGCAGCTGGAACTCGACCAAGTTCGGGAACTTCTTGGCGGCGAGGTAGCTGTACAATTCCACCCCAGAAGAAAAAATCAACAACAGAACAAGAATGGGCCACACACGACTGGTCGTCGAACCGTTGAAAATGCCTGGGAGGTCACGGAAATATCTTGAGACGGAAGCATGCTTCCGCCACCTGCCGTGGTCGAAAGACCGCTTCTCGAAAAACTCTGACTCCACCGTTCCAAGCCGGTCGAAGGCGACTGCATCCGTGAGATCCTCGAGCGGTGTCTCAAAGAGAAGAAATCAAGAAAAGGAGAGGCAAGTGGAGGGGGAGGAGGAGGCAGGATGGCCAGCAGGAGGATGACGATAAGGTGGTGGAGGAGGAGGAGGAGGGAGGAGGAGATGCCAGCGGAACAAGAGAATGGGAAGGAAGAGGAAAAGGAGTCGCCACCCTCCCGAGCCCGTCGCAAGCGACGGTAACTGTGAGGTCCTCCCAGAACTTGGCGTCCAGCACCTTACAAAGAGGGGTCCGTGGGGGACAAATAGCCCACAAGAGAAATCACGAGAATGCTGAGAGCACCCCAGACAAACCCGACCCCGGCGAACCTCGGCACATGGGCGACGATCAGAAACATATCTTACGGGAGATGACGTAGCGAGCTTACGCTGTGGCGTACGCGGGCCGCCGGTACAGCACGCTTTATCGGAGACCAGGGCGCTCACGCGCGAGCTTGCGCGGGCAGCTTACGCGCCAGTGCCGGCGCAAGCGACCCCGCTTTTCTGCGTCGCTCACATCTCACATTGGCCTGGCCCAGCCCCAGGAGGGCCCCGCTACTCTCGTGACATCTCTGGGGGCCGCGCTCCGACCAGGACTCCGAGGCGGAGGCCCAGCCGTGGCGGCAAAGGAACCCCCGCGTAAGACGAAGCCAGAACGAGGATAACATCGGGTGAGGATACATCGAGAATCTCTGAGACCCGGCGGCGCTGGAGGATGTCTCGGGCGCCGCGGCCATATCAGAGCGTTCCCGAACGTCCGCAACGCTCTGGAACAGATTTATCCTCGTCCTAGCCCCGTCTGACCGTGGGAGGCCCCAAAGGCGGGCGAGGATCGAGGGGAGAAGGGCACGACGTGCCGTCAGGAGGCGCCTCCACTCTGACCCTGAGATCCGGCTTTGCGGAACGATTGGGACATCATTGAAAAATCACGACCTAAGACCTGGACCCCATCCGTCTGCACCATTCCTTGAGCCAATTCGATCTGAGAGTCCCACGGACGGAAACTGGGCGAACATGCCTGGCTCGACGAAGTTGAGACCCCCCATAGGGGGGCCTTCTGTGGGGCAGCCAGCGCGGGCCCCAGGAGCCTCCGACCGCGGCCGCCACCGCGCCCGCGGCCGCCGCCGCAGGCGGCCGCTCCGCGCGCGCCGTGGGCCCGCGGCGGCGCCCCGCAGGCGGCCGGCGCCGAGAACAGCCGCGCGGCGGCACGCGCGCACAGCAGCCCGGCCAGGCAGCAGCCCGAGGCGCGCGCGAGGCGGCCGCAGCCAGCGCGCTGCGGCCGCCGCGGCCAGGGCATGCCGCGTCCGCACGGCGCCGCGGCCCCCACCGGCCGCCGCTGCGGCGGCGGGCGCCTGCGGCCCGGCTGGCGCGCAGCGGCGCTGCGCCGCCGCGCCAAGCGCGGAGGTGAAACTGCAGGGCGGGGGCGGGCAGGCCGACTCTGGCGGCGCGCAGGGGGAGGTAGCGCGAGGGAGGGGCTTCTGAAAGAAACCCCGGGCAACCCAGGAACAGAAGCACCCTGCCTTCTTAGAGGGCCACCCCCCCTCGCCCCACCGCCGTGTGCGCGCCGCCGATGGCCCCTGCTTCGCTCACCACCGCCTCCTCCCCAGTCCTTCCCCCCTGGGTATACTCGGCGCCCTGTGCGCAGAGCGTACGCACAAGGATGGCCTGGGGAGCGCCCACGGACTCGAGCCCGGTGGTAAGCCCAAATGACTGCTCGTGAAAGGTGAGGAGTGGTTGAGACGAGGTGGCACCAGACAGTATGAGAAGATCGGCGACCCACTGTGCCGCCAGGCCATTTGGGCAAACTTCAGGATTCCTCAAACAGAGCTTGCACTTGGGGTGAATTACTTCCTGCTCTAAGGGAACTGGGCCTGGCTGCCGGTCTGGCGGCTCCGTGATCGCCGTCGCCGCCCCATCGCCGCCTCGTCGCCGCCCGTCGTCTGGGCCTGGCTGCCGGTCTGGCGGCTCCGTGGTCGCCGTCGCCGCCCCGTCGCCCTAGCAAGGATTGCACCACGTATATTGCACCACATATATTGTAGAGTGTTGATTGCACAACGTACACTGCGCGGCATACACTGCACCGAACATATGACTTCACATAGAAAGCACAGCATAGGTTGCGGCTTACCTGGATTCTCTTTTCTACAAAAAAACAGGTTCTACCACCCTCCCCCCGGACTTCTCGACTCCCCCGGAACCTCTGCAAAACACATATGATTATGACCCAATGCCCGTCCTACCTGTGAACTCATACTATCCCAGCCAGGCCGGTATCGGTCCCCCGTCGGTTCCCTGGCAAAAAATATACGGTGAGATTTTTGGTTCTAACATAACACTTGTTCGCGAATCCTTTTGTAGAAAATACCATGCGGGGCACACGCGCGCGGCCGCTGCGCACGCATGCCGAGATCCTTCCGAACACATCGTGGTGTAAACAATTTCAACATCCCGCTTGAAGAAAACCGATGAACACATACGACTTGCTCACCCGAAAATTATGGAACATCTGCCCACCCGCGCTTGCCGAATCCTTCAAAAACCTATGGTTCTTCAACATTCCTAACATATCAGGCTTCTTGGGCAACTTTTGCGCGCACGTCGATCTCATTCAACAACGTTCGCGCGCCTGCCAGGGCCACAATCCCTTTTTGTACAAAATACAATGCGGGGCACATGCGCGCGCTCCGCGCGCGCAGGTCTAAATCCGTCCAAACACATTGTGGCTCAAACGTTGCAAGACCGAGCTTCATGAAATCATGCGAATCGTACCATACACCCTCGGAAACATGCAAAACAAACAAACATATATTCGCGCGTTTTCCGAATACTGAAAAACAATGTGTTAGTTCTTTCAAAATTTCTGTCACGCGAGCAACAGATGCGCGCGCGTCGAACGCCTTCAACATCGGTCGTGCGCCTGCCAGGGCCACAATCCCTTGTAACAAATACAATGCGGGGCACATGCGCGCGGCCGCCGCGCGCGCATGCCGAAATCCTTCCAATTACGCTACCGAGGAACCCCACATACTGCATATCAAGGCTCGAGTGATGATAACTGAAGTGAAACATAGGAGAATGATATTGGTGGCCATTCCCTGCGCACCCCCTATGGTGTCGAGGAAGTGCCACGCCTGTTGCGCCCTGGACGACCGGCTCAGGTAGCGGCCGCGCTCAAAGACCAGGACCACCACCTGCGGACCCCCCAAGGTTATGATCAGAGTGAGGGGGCGAACGGAACTGTCCCGGTGGCTGATGTGGAATTCCGCGGTGCGGACGTCGTCCCGCGGCCCACCCCGCGACCCACCCGCGACCCACCCGCGACCCACCCGCGACCCACCCGCGACCTACCCCGCGACCCATCGACCCAAACCCCGTTCAAGGTACAAACCACAATTTTCGGCGCCTGCGGCGGGCTTTTTGCATTCCTTCCAGGTGGAGAGCCCGCGACACATCCCGTGACCAACTCGCGACCAACCCGCGACCCAAACCATGTTCAGGGTACAAACCACATTTTTCGGCGCCTGCGGCGGGCATATTTTGCATTCGTTTCAGGTGGAGAGCCCGCGGCCCACCCGCGACCACGTTCAGGGTACAAAAAACACATTTTGGGCGCCTGCGGCGGGCATCTTTTGCATTCGTTCCCTGTGGAGAACCCGCGGCCCACCCGCGACCCAAACCTCGTTCCGTGTACAAACCAATTTTTTTGGCGCTTGCGGCGGGTTGCTTTTGCATTCCTTCCAGGTGGAGGTGGAGAGCCCGCGACCCACCCGCGACCTAAACCATGTTCACTGAACAAACCAATGCCGCACAAGCGCGGCGGCGGATGACGGGAGGGAAGCGCCTCCGGCGTGAACTACCGTTGGTTCTGGGGAATTAAGCACCCCCAAAGGCTCCCATTTTTCGTTGGCGGATGACGGGAAGCGTCTTCGAGGTACGAGAAGCAAGCGGGACGTTCTGGCTGAATCCTTGAGTATATATATATATATATATATCTTTATATCTATGGGTTGCGCCTGCACGGGGGAATGACGGGAAGCGTCTTCGAGGTACGAGAAGCAAGCGGGACGTTTGGCTGAATCCTTGAGTAAATCTATATATATATATATATATATTATATATAATATATATATATATAAATATATATATATATATATATATATATATATATATTTTATCTATGGGTTGCGCGGGCGCACGGGATTTTTCATTGGCGGATTCCCCAAAATGGCTATTTCGCTCGAGACATCCTCGAAAAATCGAGGTGTTGGAGGCTATCGTTTAAGACGTTTTATGTTAAAAATGACGGTTTCGCTCGAGACATCCTCAAAAAATCGGGATGTTGAAAAATATCAAAAATTGTTTATGATATGAAAAAAAGCGTTATCGCATGAAAAAATGAGCGTTTCGCTCGAGAAATCCTCGAAAAAATGAGATGCCGATAGAGGTGTTTTAGAACCTCTTATGTCAAAAATGACGTTTTCGCTCGGGACGTCCTCAGAAAATGAGCAGGTGGTCTGCCGTGCTGACGTGTGGAGCACGGCAGACCACGGCCATTTCGCTCGAGACATCCTCAAAAAATCGCAAAGTGGTCTGCCGTGCTCCTGTGTGGTCTGCCTTGCTCCTGGGGGGCAAACCAGCAACACGTCAAGAAGTTACCCAGGGGACCAATCAGCAACACGTCAAGAAGTTATCCTGGGGGGCAAACCAGCAACACGTCAAGAAGTTATCCCGAAGGGGCAAACCAGCAACACGTCAAGAAGGTGCTGAGGGGGGCAAACCAGCAACACGTCAAGAAGTTATCCTGGGGGGCAAACCAGCAACACGTCAAGAAGTTATCCTGGGGGGGCAAACCAGCAACACGTCAAGAAGTTATCCTGAGGGGGCAAACCAGCCACAGGTCCAAAAGATGCTGAGGGGGGCAAACCAGCAACACGTGAAGAAGTTATCCTGACGGGGCAAACCAGCAACACGTCAAAGGTTATCCTGAGGGGGGCAAACGAGCAACACGCCAAGAAGGTGCTGAGGTGGTCGACCACCAACACTTCAATAAGTTACCCTGAGGCAAAACCAGCCACTCGCCAAGAAGTCATCCTGAGGGGGCAAACCAGCAACACGTCAAGAAGGTGCTGAGGGGACAAACCAGCAACACGTCAAGAAGGTATCCTGGGGGGGGCAAACCAGCAACACGTCAATGCGGTATCCCGAGGGGACCAAACCAGCACCACCACTGCCGTGCTTCTTTGGTGTCTGCCGTGCTCCTGTGGAGTTTGCCGTGCGAACGTGTGGTCTGCCGTGCTCCTGTGTGGTTTGGCGTGCTCCTGTCTGGTCTGCCGTGCTCGTGTGTGGTTTGCCGTGCTCCTGTGTGGTCTGGCGTGCTCCCGTGGAGTCTGCCGTGTCCTGTGTGGTCTGCCGTGCTCCTTTGGGGTCTGCCGTGCTCCTGTGGTCTGCCTTGCTCCTGTGTAATCCTCCGTCCTCCTGTGGTCTGCCGTGCTCGTGCGTAGTCTGCCGTGCTCATGCGTGGTCTGCTGTAGTCCTGTATGGTATGCCGTGCTCCTGTGGAGTTTGCCGTGATCCTGTCCGTTATGCCGTGCTCCGTTGTGTTGTGTGCGTTCTGCTGTACTTCAGTATGTTCCGCCGTGTTACTGTACAGTCTGCCATGCTCCTGTGCATACAGCCGCGCTCCTGTGCGTTCTGTGTGTTCTGCCGTGCTCCTGCATCGTATGCGGTGCTCCGATATCTGGTACAGAATCTCACAAAGGAGCGCGATGCACAGAACAATGGGTTTTTTTTTTTTTTTTTTTGAGATTCCGTCGTGTGCAATGCAAGCCGCAATTATGCATGTCACGGTGGCACCACGGAGCGCCAGTGGGTTGAAAGCATCACCACCGTATATAAAGCAGACATACCGTGCTAAGCGCGCGTTTCAATAACGTTCGCTCGAACTCAGAACGCGCGGCGAAGAGTAGGCGCTCCTATCGACGTCTTTGGGTAAAAAGCCTTACTCACACCAAATGCACTAAGATTTCGGACAGTCAGCAAAGTGCACTTGATAGCCCACATCGCAATCGCGCTATCCGCTCACCAGGGCAACCAGCGCCCGCCTTCAGTATTGTGAGGGTAAGGTAACACAGGTACAAAGTGGTTGCGATTCTCTCTGGCAA